ACGAGCTTTCATTTGGTATAAAATTCATTATATACTCCTCCTTGCAATAACACTATTTCCTATAAGTATCAACTCGGCTGCTCACGCCCATATATATATGTTGTAGGGCAGATTGAAATGCAGTTGAGTTTAAAATTGTCCTAGTTCAGATTGAAATTTTGATTTGAACTAGCTTAGATTAAAACGATTACCTAGTAAACTAGTTCAGATTAAAATTTTGATTCGAGCTAGAACAAAATGAAATTTTGACCTGAACTATTCAAAGCGAACTAGTTTAGATGAAATTTTTGTTCTGAACTAATTCAGATTGAAATATAGAGACAGTGTGACTGTTTTACACTGACGAACAATATACTTGCTCGACGTGGATAAAACATTTTAGATGTTACCAAATAATTTACAACTGATTTTAAGAAGCATTCAAGCCCCGCTAACTGTACAAGAACATATCAGTGGAAGATTCTGGATACGGATCTTCTTAACCCAGATGAAATTCATTCTATCTAGTCTTCATCATTCCGATTGATTCTTATCGAAATTCATAGGAGTTTTAATAGAGGAATTCTCTTAGTCGGATCCTAGTCATTTTTCTTGTTAGACTCGACAGCCAACTTAAGCATCTTAGGAAAGAATAAAATAACTGCAGAGAGAGTAGAAAAACATTTTTCATCATGGATAGTTCTTTGAAAAACTACCAAGTATTTGCCTGTGACCAGATAATATATAACAACTAAAATCTATCCATTTTACTGGGAACTCAAGTTGTATTCCCAATATCTAAAAAGAGATGAAAATGGTGGAAAAATCTTCTCAGCCAGACTCGACATAGCATCAGCATCTACTCTGGCGTTAAATGTAGGAAAAGAACTAAAAGCATTTGAATAAGAGCTGAGTATAGCAAAACGCTGTCGTGACGGCGATCCTAAATCTACAACTTGTTTACTAGTATATTTTCGGTACTTGTTTGCTGTCGCCCCGCGAAAATTTTTTACTTTTTTGAACATTATCTTATCTTTTAGCTTGTGGGTGTGGGTTTGTGGATATAGATGTGTGGGTGTGTTGGGGTGTGTCGGTGTGAATGTAAGTGTGTGGGTGTCATAAAACGTTAAAAGATACGATAATAATCAAAAAATTAAAAAATTTGTCGGGGCCATAACAAATAAGTACCTGTTTTTCTTTTTTATTAAGTTTTTGACATTAAAAGAAGTCCTATTTTTACGATCAACAGAGAACTGTTTTTGATAGAAACGTAACATATTTCGAATATTTCAATTCGTTGTCTCTATATTTCAGCCTGACCTAGTTTAGAACAAAATTTCAATCTGAACTAGTCCGCTTCGAATAGTTCACATCAAAATTTCATTTTGTCCTAGTTCGAATCAAAATTTTAATCTGAACTAGTTCACTTGGTAATCGTTTTAATCTCAGCTAGTTCAAATCAAAATTTCAATCTGAACTAGGACAATTTTAAACTCAACTGCATTTCAATCTGTCCTACGACATATTATATTCATACTCATAAATTACATCTTTCATAAGACTAAAAAAATTCATTATTTCTAAGAGAATGATTACCGTAATCTGTGTATTTCTCTTTCCAAGAAAAAAAGAACTTTATTTATTTGTATTAATGATTTATTAATTAGGATGACTTACATTTCAATAGATTCATATAATCTCTGAAGGTATTTTAACTCTATGAAAAATCTTTTCTAAAAGCCACTAATTCAAATATACGATCAAAGATAGTCGAAAAAAAACACGTTTTTTTCAATCATGCATTTGCATTAGCAAATCGATAATATGTATGTAGTACAAAACAAAAAAGAAGAAAATCTTTCAATAGTTATTTTGTGATAAATAGAGTAATAAAGAAAACCAAAAAGAAAATAAAATAAATAACTGACTTTGATACAGTTAGCTCCACTATCAAAACAAAAAAATTCGGAAACGAACCAAACATTGGAACGATGTTGATTTTGCAAAAATTCAAATGAACTTTTCACTTTTTTCTCTCAATACTCTCACTCTTATTTTATTCTCTTCTTTCTCTCTCTATTTCAGTCCATCCATTACGTGGAAGTTCCATTGATATTCATCCAAATGCTCGATGGCAACAGAGTGGCATCACTGTAGCTGGAGGAAGTCGACAAGCCAATGGAATCAATCAACTCCCAGACCCACGGGGTTTGTATGTTGATGATGATCAAACAATCTATGCTGCTGATCGAGCGAATCATCGTATTGTGGAATGGAAATGGGGTGCAACGAGTGGCCAAGTGGTTGCAGGTGGAAATGGACAAGGAAGTCTAGATCATCAATTATTTATCCCAATAGATGTGATTGTCGACAAAGAGAGAGATAGTCTCATCATCTCCGATTATGTGAATAGAAGAGTGGTTCGATGGCCTCGTCGAAATGGAACAAGTGGAGAAACAATCATCTCCAGCATCGATTGTTTGGGTTTGACAATGGATGAGAATGGATCTCTCTATATCGTTGATGGTGTAAAAAATGAGGTGAGACGATATCGAAGAGGAGAATCTCAAGGAATAGTGGTTGCAGGTGGCAATGGAAAAGGAGATCGTCTCAATCAATTCTCTAACCCACAATACGTATTCGTCGATCGAGATCATTCAGTATATGTGTCTGATTTGGGAAATAATCGTGTGATGAAATGGATGGAAGGTGTAAAAGAAGGCATTGTTGTGGCTGGTGGTCAAGGACAAGGAAATGGTCTTACACAATTACCATATCCTGAAGGAGTCGTTGCCGATCAATTGGGCACTGTCTATGTGGCTGATAGATGGAATAATCGAATCATGCGTTGGTCCAAAGGAGCCACACAAGGAAGTGTCATTATTGGTGGAAACGGTAGAGGAGACCAATCGAACCAACTCAATCAGCCCTTCGGTTTGTCATTCGATCGAGACGGCAATCTCTATGTCGCCGATACTGGAAATCATCGAGTACAAAAATTCAATATCGAATCCAATAAGTAAAGGACATTGAAATCAAAAAAGAAAATTTTTTTATACTGTCAACATCGCAGTCATCCTATAGATAGAAGTGACGACGGAATTCTTCAAATTCTTCAAAAAAATATAATAATAAAATGTACTATAATTATAAACGAAATATATATCTGACTAACGTAGGATATCTTGAAGCTGGATTCGAGTATTCCGCAACGGGATTCGCCTATAGGTTAGACCAAAAGCTGAAAAGGTAGACAAAGATAGATCTCGATGAGCTCTATCGATTCCAGTATTTACTTTTCTCCGATGGCCTCTCCTTCCTAGAGAAAAACCTAGGGTGTGGGTGTGGGTGTGGGTG